TTTTTTTTTTTTTTTTTTTTTCCAACGCGAAAGTTATATTAAGAGTTTTTTTAGTGAATAAATAAGCTGTAGATATTGAAAGCGAAACACATACGACCATCAACAGGAAACAATAAAAACATAAAAACAATTGGCTGAACTATCTAAGAATATAGCACTCAAGCTAAACTCGTAACAATTTCACTGAAGAAACATGACTTGATCAACCTAGTATAATTTAGAGTTAATTACATATAACTACTCAATCCTTTGAGGTGATTTAAAGTTTGTTTTTACGATCGTTGTCTTTGGAGCTCTAATCTCTCACCTCATTACCTTTTTAGCAAAGTTAAACTGTAAATTTATTTGGCTAAAATGCATTATTTTGGAGATCCAAAACTCCACTGATGACTTGAGAGTTAAAACACACTTTCATATTTTACTTGCCATCATAGTGACCTAATAGATGCCAATTTTTAGAAACGTTAGGTTGTTAGGTTGTTAGGTTGGTATTTAGAATGTTTTAGAAGGTCAGGATCAATTTAAAATCATCTCTAAAAGTTGGGTGTCCGGACTTAGCCCTCCAATATGTTTCGTCACTGTATTTCTTTCTTGTAAAAGTGGTCGAACTCCAAAGTGCTCAAAAAAATTAATCTACCACTATGCGTAAAACTTACATTCCGACAACAGAACATACAACACGAAAAAATAAAAAAAATAATAAAAAAAGTAATAATAAAAAAATCATCCACAATGACTCATGGTCGAAGAAAAAAAAATCGATGTTCTTTTAACAATGTACCCCATTACCGAACCCATTCATTAAAAGTTAAAGCAATCAACACCAACGGTGGAGATCGACCGAACTGTCGCACATCAAACGTCTCAAAGGAATATCTTAATCAATCATCTACTAAAAGCCAAACCATCAGGGCCACGTGGCGCTCTCACATGGTCTGGTGGCCATCACGGGGAGGAGCTTCAAAAGGTGGGTCCCGCCACCGAGTTCATCGTATCAACTTGTTTTCGGAAAGTGGGCCCCGCCCGGAAAACGTTAGTGATATCCGTTCGCCACGTGTCCGTAGCCCACGATGAGGATTGACGATAGAACACGCTCCAGATAATACGACAAAACTCAAAGCCCACGCTATAATTTCTTTATTTTGTTGATAAAGCGCCTCCGTCAATAGTCATCTCCAGAACCACCACGGTGTGATCTAATAATTAATAATGAATTTTAAGCTCATATTCATATGATACGTTTGAGTTCGATACATAATACTGATGAATCACACGATAATATCAAAAGGCTGAAATAATTTTATAGATATTTCGATTATTGGAAAAGTAGGTTATCGTGACGAAACTACGTGAACATCATAAAAAACATGTCATCACGCGCCTTCCGCTAGCGGACAAAAAACGTGTCGTCCTCCTCCTCATCAATGATAGGCTCGTGGTTTTGAGGATGTGACAAGGGTAAAATCGAGATTTTATCGTGGTTGTTTGGCAAAAGAATCGGGACGGAACCCTTTGTCGCCACGTGCTATCGCGTCGGCCGCACGCAGGTTGTTTTTATTTTTTATATATTTATATTGTTTATTTCTTTTGAATTTTCTAAAAGTATCTCAGTGCATCATAAATTTTGGACTTTAAATCTAATATTTAAATTTAATATGAGTCAAAGATTTTTTGTGTCCAGAAACTTAAAACATAAATATAAGTTTTCGGCGAAGTTGAGGGCTAACTGCGAGTTGGTGCATGTCTACAAGAAGAAGAGTATGGTGGTAGATAGGGATGAACAATGGTTATGACGGACAGATAACCGCAGTTATTTATTTATAACTGTTTATACTTATACCCGTATAATCGTTTACTTATTATGTAATTGCCTAAACGGTTATACCCATAACCATTTATAAACGGTTAACCATATTCATAACTGGATACGCATTTAACTGTAATCATATATCTGTTTACTTAATTTTTAACCCGTTTATTTATTTATTTAACCTATTAACCTCTTTTTTCAGCTGTCTACATATTTTTTTAATAACTTGAAAATTAAAAATAAAAAATTTGTCATAATTTTGAAAAGCACGGGCTGAATTGTTTCCTTGCCTCCATACTCTACTACTTGCTGCCTCTGCACTCTCGAGCACGGTTCTAAATGGAACATGCGGGCATAAGAAGCACCTATTGTGATAAGCACTTATTTTCTCTCTCAAATCACTGAGATCGAACAATTTAGGGTTTTTAATTTTTTAATTTTAATTTTTAATTTACATATATTAAAATAAACAGATAAATGAAACCCGTTATAACTGCAAGCAATACCTATAACCGTCTATTTAAATTTCAAGAGTGAACGGTTATACTCATAACTGTTTGTTTATCTAAGCGATTACTTCTAATTATAACCGTGAACTTTAAATAGATGGGTAACCGCGTTTATCCTATATCCGTGGGTATTTTGCCCATCGCTAATGACATATGACATTGTCAATTTGGAAGAAGGGAGTTTATAGGACTCAAAATATTTGTAATAACTCTTTTAGCTAATTTTTAGGGCGCTCCACCATCTTATATTACCAATAAAAAGTTGAGAGCTAAATTTGAATTTCAATATGATATTTGAGTCTAATGAGAAACCTACGCCAAGTGGAAAAAAAGTTATTCAACCAAGAAAATCAGATTTGAAATTTGGGTCCAATCATCTTTAATAACATAACCAAATGTTAATACTTAAGCATTAACTCAAATCTTAACCCTTTTCAAATTGAAGAAGAAGATCAAAATACGTAAATCCGTCGCGTCTTTAGAACTCAAATATAAATATGTAGGTCTAGATATTGAATCTTTGCAAATTTGTACGTTGCTGTTGTTAGAGCTGGATTTTCACGAAGAGATATGATGAACCAAATTTTTTTTTTTTTTTTTTTTTGGTTTTTGCACATCCATGTAAAATTAACTGGAATTTCAATAGTTATTTTGCTGGAAATATTTTAAATGTTGTATCCTTTGAAAGAATATTTATAAAATAATATAGAAAAAGAAGAATGAATATTTAGAAAATGTGAAATTAAAAAACATAGTTTGACTTTTATGAGGAAATTATGTAGTCATTAGCAGGGAATATTGTGGAACATACAACAGAGTAGAAAGTTGTTGACACTTAATAACGCAATGCACTGGCCACCGTCCCTCATTTTTTTAATTCAAAATAACATCATTTTATATTCACTACTCACAAGTTTCCCGGCTAGTATGAAATTGCTTTTAAAATATCTGAAAAAGTTTATGATGAAATGTAAGTGAATTCTGAAAAGCATTTGCAGCGTTTTTTATAAAGAAACACATAACTGTCACTTCTTGTAGAAAACATTTTAAATGTTTTTAGAACTAAAAATCTTTTTCTCCACAAGTTTTTTCAATCATTTAAAAAACACTTTCAAACGAGTTATTTCTTTTTACAGAAAAAATAAATAATTTAAATGTATTTATTCAAGCTATTTTGTAATATAATAGTATTCCGAATCTTCGATTAAGTAATCCTAAACTATACACCAGAAAGTTGAAGTTTAAGCTCTAATGGATAATTTTACCTCCAAAATAATCAACTAGGATAATACTAATCAAAGTTGAAGAGAACACAGTAAAAGGTAATGAAATTTGTTCAATGCTCATATATACTTAAGAAAGACAAGACTTCACTATGACACTCCACATCGTTTAGGGAAGTGGATCTTGTAAGCCTTATATGTGTATTCCTATTCCTATCTAGCACGAAGCCTTTTAAGAACTCACTGGCTTCGGGTTCCATGGGAACTCCGAAGTAAAGTGAGTAGCGTGCGAGAGCACTCCCATGATGGGTGATCCACTAGGAAGTTCTCGTGTGAGTTCCCAGAAACAAAACCTTGAGAGTGTGGTTGGGGTCCAAAACAGATAATATCGTGCTACGGTGGTGGAGTGAGCCCGAGATATGGTGGACCCCAAGCAGGGATGTGACATTCACACACAAAGCCAAAATGTGATCATAAACTAAATCATCCAAAATATAACAATGATATAATTTTTGAAGTTTGTAAATACCAAAATAACAAAACATTTACGATGACAATTTTATTATTTATGAGAAACTAGAAAATAATTAAATAAAAAAAAAGTGCAAAAAAAAATGTGAATCCATTATCAGAGAGATAGGCCATACAACCCACTTCCAACAACATTGATACTGTCCCCAACTTGGTAATTACCACCTGCACAATTCATTAGGTGTGGGGTTTTATCACAAAAGGTCTCGGTGTTAGTTGGAGTGGGGTTAGGATATTTAAACTCTTCTTTTCTCATTGATACGGTAAATGTGAGACATTTCAACACACCCTCTCACGTGGGACTTGGCCAATTAATGGGTCACATGTGGAAGATTCACACATCGCCAACCACGTAGAGCCAAGGGGACTCAACCTACACGCGGGGCTAAGAGACCCACTATCATCGTTCAGGGTCAAGGGGACCCATCCAACATCGAGTCAAGGGGACTCACCCTACAAGCGGGGGCCAAAGGACCCACCATCATCGCGCAGGGTCAAAGGGACCCACTCATTACGTGGCAGTACCGTACGACCCCACTCTCTGGTTCTGATACCATGTAGAATTATCAGAGAGACGGGTCATATGACCTACTTCCAACAATATCAATATTGTCCCCAACTTGATAATTACCACATGCATAATCTGACGTCAGGTGTGGGGTTTTATCATAAAAGGTCTCGATGTTAATGTGAGACATTTCAACAAATCCAAAAATATTTTTCAGTATACGTAAAATACATAATGATACCTTATATGTGATTGTGTAATGTAATGTATCACGCCGTATTCCAATTACACTCGAAGCAAAAACGGAGCTGTCGCTAGCCATTCGCACCTTTTTAACCCATTCGCGCTAGCGAACACGCCACAACACAAACTCCTCTGTCTGTCTAAAGACGACAACTCAGGAAAACCAAAAAAACGAAGCGGAGCTGCGGAAGGCAAAAAATAAAAGAAAAAAATATAGAAAAAGTAGGTCCCGCTGAACAGTTTAATTCGGCCGCCCGCTTTGTCGTCTCTTTCGTCTCCGTCCACCACCGTCGTTCCTAGGCGTTTGACTCTCAATCTCTCCCCCCCTCTCTCTCACTCTCTCTTAAATTTGTACTCTCTCTCTAAGCTGTGATATCCTTGATCTGTCTCTGCTTCTGCTCTCTTATAACCTTATTATTTCACAGAAGTGTCTTCTCATCCCTCTCTCTTGGTTCAGCAAAACCCAGAACGAGGAATCCAAAATTCCTCCGAGTGGGGTACAATAAACCCAGCACTTCCCACACCAGAGACCGAAAAAATCCACTGGTCCTTTGAGCAAACCCATCACGTCCTTTACGCAAACCCAGCAGCTCTGCTCGTACCCTTTTTATTTCTTCTCACTTTCTATTATGTTCGTCAAAGGGGGCGTTTTACTGAGGATAGTTGCTGGGTTTTGAGCCCTTCTTGCTGGGTTTCTGAAAATCTTGCTGGGTTTTGAGAGATACACAGAGATTGTAGAGCCATGGCTGGTAGTAATGAAGTCAACGTCAATGAATCCAAGGTTGCTGGTTCGCCTCTCTCCTTATTTTTCTCAAATTTGACCCCTTTTTTCTTCCAATTTCTGAATTGGGTTGCCTACCAAGGCGACGATTAACCATTTCGTTATTTTTTTGTTTTCGGAGTGTTTCATTTGGGGCAAAATCCAAAATTTTAATTGGATTTTTACCCCTTTTTGATTTGGTTTCAAGGGGCTTGAATTTTCAGAGTTCTTTCTAATTCTTCCATTTTTTGTTGTGGAAAGTACAAATTAGTCACATCGTTGTTTGTTCTTCCCCTTTTGTTTGTTTGGGGGCTTTTGGTTTGGTTGCTTACGCTTCTTTTCTGTATGCAGAAAGTTGTCCCTCTCAACACATGGGTACTAATCTCCAATTTCAAGCTGGCTTACAACCTCCTCCGCCGTGCCGACGGAACATTCAACCGTGTGCTGGCGGAGTTCCTCGACCGAAAAGTCCCCGCCAACACAGTTCCGGTTGACGGGGTTTTCTCGTTTGATCACGTCGACAGAGCCACCGGCCTCCTCAACCGTGTTTACCAGTTTGCGCCCCAAAACGAGTCTCAGTGGGGTATTGTGAATCTTGAGCAGCCCTTGAGCACCACCGAGGTCGTCCCGGTCATAATCTTTTTCCACGGCGGAAGCTTCACTCATTCCTCCGCCAACAGCGCCATCTACGATACTTTCTGCCGCCGCCTTGTCAACACTTGCAAGGCGGTTGTAGTCTCCGTTAACTACCGCCGTTCGCCAGAACATCGGTATCCTTGTGCTTATGAGGACGGATGGGCGGCTCTCAAGTGGGTGAAATCGAGAAAGTGGCTGCAGAGCGGGAAGGGGAAGGACTTGAAAGTTCATGTCTACTTAGCTGGAGACAGCTCCGGCGGCAACATTGCTCACCACGTCGCGGTGAAAGCGGCAGAAGCGGAGGTTGAGGTGATCGGAAACATCCTTCTCCACCCGATGTTTGCAGGGCAAAAGAGAACGGAATCAGAGAAGAGATTGGACGGGAAGTACTTCGTAACGATACAAGACCGCGACTGGTACTGGCGGGCATTTCTCCCCGAAGGCGAAGATAGAGATCATCCGGCGTGTCACGTTTTCGGCCCGAGGGACAAGAGCCTCGAGGGCTTGAAATTTCCCAAGAGTCTCGTTGTTGTGGCTGGCTTCGATCTTATGCAAGATTGGCAATTGGCCTATGTGCAAGGGCTTAAAAATGCAGGGCAGGACGTGAAGCTTCTCTTCTTAAAGCAGGCGACGATCGGGTTCTACTTCTTGCCGAACAACGAGCATTTCTACTGCCTCATGGAGGAGATGAAGAGCTTCGTGAATCCTGACTGTTAATACATTGATTCCACTTAACTTTACCCGCAAGGCAGCCATTGATATATAGCAAAAAAGCTTGTCATTTTTACTCGGGTGCCCTATCGTGTGTACCTGTAAGATTGTCTGGTATTTACTTACTTTGTTTACCATTTGTTGTTGTAATATGAGGGTTCTGTTCTGCTACCTCGGAACCGTATGTTCGGGTTCTTGTTTCGGCGGCTGGGAAGGATTGGAACTCGGTTATTGGATTCGGCATAGCCACCGGATGTAAGAGCTTACTTCCGGCCATGATTGACAGTAAGCGTCGGAGAAGAACTTGCCACGGGGATGCTACTCTGTCGGTATCCCAAATACATGTGGCAGTGCGTGATGACTTGGGATGCCGCCAGAGTGGCATTCCCGGTGTAGGCAAGTTCCTCTCGAAGCGTTTAGGGTAATTGCTTTGGTGGTTAATTAATATATTGTTTGGTGTATGGATTTTATTGTAAGCATTACTAATTTGAAAAACATGAAACTGTGGAACGGAATGCTTCTTGTCTATGAACATAAAATGTTAACTTAATCTCGAGTCCTAATCTTCTCTTAATGCTTTATTTAGCTAGTAATCTGGTTTATTTTACTTTTGATTTTTTTGAGTCAATTTTGCTTTTTACATGCAACCGAAGATATAATTCGTAGTTTTTATGATGTTTATCACATATATTCACGTTAAGAGACATGCATATACGTGAGAATAGTTGTAGGTACAAGATGATATATCACGCGTTGAGAGCTTTGAATGCGATCACGGGATTGACGATGTAGGCGTAAGGACACATTGCGTATAAGAGATGTAAATGCAAGATGACATGTATCTTCGATTACACAATAAAATCTTGCTTTAATTAATGTGAAATTTGGATGTAGAGCGTAATGAATCGTGCCATCCTCACCACCCCACAAATTATTCTAGAAAGTGGTTGAAAAATAGAGATAGTGGCATATGACTTGAGAAAAAGGAAGTGATTATTTTTGGGAAGAGATTCTCTCCAGATCTCTCTCACCAAATCCTAGGGATTAGGAGATTCGGGTTTTTGAAATTTGATCAAACGGTTACAAAGATGAGATCCTTGTAAAAGTTATAATAATTGTAATTGTTGCATCAAATTTCAGAGGTTCGGATCCTAAGACTTGGTGAGAAAGATCTGGAGAGGATCTCTTCCCATTATTTTCACTCTTTTGGTCGATGAAACATTTCTTTTTTTGTGTTCCATTTAAGGATTTAAAACCATTGAAAAATAAGGTACCAAAAATAAAGGGAAAAAGATAGGGGAGTTTTCTTTGTTTTTTTTTCTATTCATCAGAATGGACATGAAAATTGAGAGAAGAAAATGATTGGAGGCAGAGTTTGTAGTCATGGATTGCATCATCTCTATTAAGGAGAAGAATATCGAACAAGTTCACTATCACGTATTTTGATTCAATAATACTATATATTTTTATGAGTTAAGTACAAAAAGTTATCGAAATTTTTAAGGTGATTCGGAATTAGATTTAACATTTTAGAATATTTTAAATAACTATTTAACGTTTTGAAAATTAGATATCTGGTAGGTCATTGGGTACCAACATTAAGTGATGGCGTTACTAGTATTAAATGATGTGATGGACAAATACTAAAGTTGGTTTTTACTAATCAACGTCTTTGGAGTTCTAATTCTCCAAATTAACCCTTTTTAGCCAAGTTAAACAATAAAATTGTTTAGCTAAATGGCTTCAACTTGGTGATTCAAATATCCATAAATGACTTGAGAGCTAAAGTACGCTTAATATTGTTCACATCATCAATGAACGCTAGTGAACCTAATAGATGTCTATTTTTCAAAACCTTTAAGTAGTTATTTGAAATGTTTTAAAAGGTTAAGACCTAGTTAAAATCATTCATAATGATTAGATAATTTACCAGATTTAACCCTATGTTTATTATAAACAATTATTATTTGGTCATAACGCTATGATAACGGTGAATTTGTTTTATGTTATTTACTATCTGTATTTTGGGATTTGGGGAAATGGCAAATGCAAAGAATTGGGTGTCTTTTTTAGGTGGTGGGGAGACTCATCTGGTTGGTAGTGGTTGGGAGTTTTGGATGCATTCCAAAGGCATCGCATATGAAAACCCATTGGATAAAAAAAAAGGCAAACAAATTTAATAAGATTTTGGGGATTTGCTTTTGAGTGCTTAAAGTTAATGGCCACTAAGTGGTACAAAAACACAGCTATGCATTGGACAAGGACATGGAACCCTGTCCTTATTTGCCTCATGACTTTCTTATGCTTTAATTAGGTTCCAATTTCCATCAAATTCATTCATTCATTTTGGTGTTTTGATGTGAAGTATAGCTCGCTCTTTACTATTAATGAGTCATTTAAAAAAAATATATATATTTGATAGGATTCGTTTTGGAAACGTAGAATGTAAGAGAAATAAATGTTATGACTTCCCTACCAAATTAGTGGACTAGGTTTTTCTATTCCTTCGAGAAGATTTGCTGCTCAGCGCTGGAGCAACTCAATTTGTTGCAAAAGAGACTCACGCCCCTTCTGAAGTTCACGAATTTGCTCATGTAATCGATGAACCTTAGCATGTTCTTGGTTACGCCGACGCTTACCAATTGGTCTTTATCTTTTGTACGTACAAATTACAAGATAGTATGTATAAGTTGAATTGTTGAAATGACTTATTAAAAGTACAAAAAAAAAAAAAAAAAAAAATTATGCACATTTTAGAGTGCAAAAAGGAAATTCAGCCTCAACTGCGAGGAGACAGGTTGCACTGCCTTGAGACTTTTGACCAACCAACTAACATTTGTGTTTTCTACTATAAAGTATGTTCGACTCTTTTCCTTTTTAAGTCGTAATTCATTACGTGAGGATTACCATTCGATACTTATCTACAAAATTGAAAGATTTAAAATATAACAAGAAATCTTTCGCTCACGTATTAGACGAGCGCGTTTGAATGTGCTTGTAAAATGACTGAAAGCTCTATTAATGAAAATATTTTTAAAACAAATTTTTAGTAAATATGTAAGTAAATCCTGGAAAAATATTTAAAGTGCTTCCTAAAAAGAAACACATAACTAGTGCTTCTTGCAGAAAACACTTAATGTACTTTTAGAATCAAAAAACATTTTTTTCTAAAAGTGTTTTCAATAATTTTAAAAGCACATCTAAACAAATCTTACAATTTGTTTATAAAAAACAAAACCCTTATACGTAAACTGTAGTCCAAAACAAGAAAAACTCAATCTCAAATGCAAGAAGACGAAACACACTGTCAGAACCAAACGAGTTGGTGTGAATGAGAGCTTTCTTGCTCGGATTGTCATGGGGTTTTTTTTATTTTTTTTATCGATGTCGTATTCTGACTTGTCCTTTGTTAATTAGCTGTTAATGTTTTGAAGTTATTCCCTAATACGACACCTAAGTCCTTGTCAACAAAATGGACTTTTTCTTAATAGCTACGTGCAGATAACGACAAAACCCTGGTGGGTCATTCGATGCCCTACGTGTTCACATCTCCTTCATGTCTTATGTGGAAATTTTTTCAGGTTTATATTATTTCTATATTTTTTATTTTTTATTTTGTTGGTTGAAAATTTGACATGATAAGGAAAAAGATTTTCCTATTTATTGGATTTAGGAGAGCATTAATTGGTTAGGTCTTGTTACAACTTGTCACCCACATCTCAAGCAAGTTCTTGTTTTAGATCTTTCACTTTTCCTTGAGAGGAAAAATGAAAGAGTGGGTCTTTTCTTAATTTATACGTGTTATTGTTATGTATCAGCTTTATTTCGTTCTGATTTTGTTAAATATTAATGATCGTTATAACATTATTGAGCGTCGGTGATTTTTTCAATGTTCTTGGGATGTCGATGAAGATATTTGCTGTATCACCATGCCAATTGCCAAGCAAGTTCATTATTTGGATTTTCCACTTTTCTTCGAGAAGGAAAATGAAATATTGAGTTATTTTTATGACTTTATTGTTGGTAATCGTTTTAACTGTATTGGATATCAGTGATCATTTTAACTGTATTGAATGTCAATAATCATTCCAATTTTTTTGATGTTGGCGAAGATGTCGTATCACCATGACAAACAACTTCTTTATCTAGATGTTTCACTTTTCTTTGAAAGGGAAAATGCAAAATTGGTTAATTTCTAACTTTGTACGTATTGTTTTTATGTATTTGGCATTGTTTTTAGGTGTCGACGAAGATATTGTTGTATCACTGTACTAAACTTCTTTATTTAGATCTATTTTTTGGGTTGGTTACATATTTATTTAGATCTTTCAATTTTCTTCAAAAGTGAAATTGCAAAACTGGATCATTTTATATGTGTTATTCTTATGTATACGCATAGTCTTGCTCCAGCTTATTAAGTGTCAGCGATCATTTCAACTGTATTGAATGATAAAAATTGTTCTAAGATGTCGACGAAGATAATATTGTGTGTAGTTTACCAACATCATAACAAAGAGAGGGTAAGAATGAAATCAATACATTCGAATTAGTAATGAATCCAATTTCATCATAATTATAAAACTTTGGGAGATTTGTAATTTAGGAAAAGCAAAAGGGAAAAAGAGAGATTGAACCCATAAATTAAAGCATGAGAGAAACGACAATCCTTCATGTATGAAACGACAGATGACGGAATAACAATTATAATTAATTGGAATGTGCTTATCTTTTGCAATCTGATCCAGGGAATGGTATGGAGTTTCATGATTGTATGATGTCATTTTATCAACACATAAAGGTTTCATTTGCTTTCCCAATGAAAAACAGAGGAAGGGTGGAAAAGAAGAGAGCAGATAATGAGCTCATTGAAAAGAATATTTTTTTTGCGTCGGGTTGGCTCAGTTGATAAGATTCATGTCTTGTGGAATCTCATCAAAATTCGAGTTTTATTGCTTGCAGTTTTCGTTAGTGCGTGATTTATAAATTTATACGTAAATTCATACTGGTGACAGCTGACAGTTAGATGTCATACGTAACTCCTACCGGCTCGAGATTGTGGGAGTGGTCTAGCGCTGGTGATAAGAGTAACCAATCTTCCCCTAAACTTTTATGTACCTGAAAAAAAAAAAAAAGTTTATTTTGGCTGTATTGTATATTTTGTTATGATGTTAAATGTAAGACACGTCTCTATTTAACGGTCTGTTTACTTATTTGGAATGAGTAACATTATTGATGTTCCTTCGACCAAAAAAGCCCATAATTTTTCCTTATAATTTGTCAGTAGAGAAATGATTGTCACACACACTATTTTAACATTTTGCGCATCCATGTTAATTTACGTCCATTGATCTTCTTTTAATTTATTCAATCAAATTGTCAAAAATACCGAAAGATAAATGAAAAGAGAAAACAAGAGAGTGAAAATCGCTTCCCTTTGGTAACGATAACATGAAGTGCAAATAGCACTGAGCATTTTCTAAAGACCAAATGTACAATGCGGGTAAGATTTGATGCACGGAAGAACACTTTGTCAAGAATAAGAAGTTGTTA